ATATGAAGAACACAATCGATCAGCTTGAATGATAAAAGATCATTGACATGGTGCTGGGAAAACTGGACTTCATATGTCAAAGAAAGAAACAAGATTCCTATCTCTCACCCTGCTCAAGAGTCAAATCAAAATGGATCAAAGACTTAGGAATTAAGGGAAGTGCCAATCAAAGCTATACTGAGACATCATCTCACTCCAGTCAGAATGGCAATAATCAAGAATACAAATTATGATAAATGCTGGAGAGGATATGGGGGGAAAGTACACTCATATATTATTGGTGGGACTGCAAATTGGTGCAACCACTCCAGAAAATAGTATGGAGACTCCTCAAAATACTAGGAATGGAACCACCGTATGACCCAGGTATCTCACTCATTGGTATTTATCCAAAAGAACTAAAATCAGCCAAACAGCCACCTCAATGTTTACAGCACAGTTCACAATATCCAGGTTAAGGATCCATCTCCAGTGCCTGTCAACAGATGAAAGTATAAAGGAGATGTGGAACATACGCAGAATGGAGCTTTATTCAACCATAAAGAAGAATAAAATTGTTGCACTTTCTGGTGAAAGTGAAATAAGCCAGGTCAGAGCATCCAGGGTGGGACATTTTCTCTTATCTGCAGAAGCTAGAGCAAAATAAGGGGAAGGGGGATGAGATGTCATAAAGATAGGGAAGCTCAGTGGACTAGAAGGAGACTGGGAAGGACAGAGGAAGGACGGAAAGGGGAGAAATGGAATGAATTTAACAAAGTCATGTGAATCTCACCACTCTGTGTGTGTACAAAGCACCAATCAAAAATAAATAGATGAGCAGAAGGAAGATCAGGGAGGAAGGAGAATAAGGGAGAGAGAAGGGAGGGAAAGAGGAAGGAAGGGGAATGGAAAGGAGAAAGTCAAATTTCATGCATGTATAGTTTTGTCAAAACGAACCCAACTACTCTGTGCAACTGTAATGCTCTAATTTTCTTTAAAAAGTCATCAACAGAAAGAAAAGATCATTTGACAAAATTCAATGCCATTTCATGGTGAAAACACTCAACTCACTAGGAGTGGAAGAAAAACTACGTCCACACAGTCAAACTCTGTCTCAAGAGCCTGGATCTAACACGAGCGGCTGAGGAGCCTCTGCTCTTGCCACTGTCCGCAAGCACTGAAACCCGCATCCACAGAGCGTGGCAGGAAAGAAAGACGGAAGGAGAACTGAGAAGCATGAAGCGCTCCTCTCTGCAGATGGAGTGGGCTTCATGCGGCCTGCAGACGGAGAAGACAGACTGCTGGAATGCCAGGGTGACCCAGCAAAGTCAGGGACACAGCACAGGCCAAGGTCAGTGGCAGTGCTGCTTGCTAATGATGAAGAGGACTAAGAGAGCAATTCCACGTCCCACGGCACCAAAGGGTAAAATGCTTCAGAATGAACGTACCCAAGGAGAGGAAGGTCTTGGAAACGGGAAACGGGAAACGCTGCTGCAGGAAGGGGAAGAGAGCCTGCGGTCCTGAAGGACTCCTGTGTGGCGGGGCGGAACCACCCACAGTGCATACACTCACCTGCAGCCCTGCCCGGTCCCAGGAACTTGTGCTGGGCAGAAACAGAAAAGCACATCCTAAAATTTACATGGAATCTGAGGGACCCCAAATATCCCAGACAACCGTGAAAAAGTGTAGGTCTGCACTGTTTGGTTGAGTCTTCCAAAGCTTTAGTGAACAACAAATGAGAGTGTAGGACTAGGAGACAGACGTGTGGACCAGTGAGACAGAGCAGAGCCAGGCCTGGACCCTGACATACCTGGCTAGTGTTCTCTGACAGTCTCCAGTGCCACCAAGGGGGAAAGAGACCCCTCGGAGCAGGGTGCCCGGGAAGGTGCTCACGTGCAGGGTGAACCTGGACCCTCCTTGCACCACAAATGAGAATTGGACCAAACACCCAAACCTAAGACCTAAGATGATACAACTCCCAGGAGAAAATACAGGGAAGGCTGCAGGACAGATTTAGCCATTGTTTCTTAAAGCTGGCCCTGGGTCTCCAGCAGCAAGAGTGAATATGGACAGCCGAGACCACACCACGTAGGACCTCTGCTTATTGAAGGCCACAATTAACACGGTGAAAGGGCAGCCTCCAGAGTGGGAGAGGAAGTGTAAATCACAGATGTGACAGGAGTCAGAGTCCTACCACTCAAAAACAGACTGACCGCTGAGTGTCCCCCAGAGGCCCTCTGAGAGCTGGGCAGAGGAAGGTCAAACATGACCCGGAACAGCTACCAGCACATACAAGGGTGCTGCACGTCACCACTCAGCTGAGAAATGTGAATCACTCCACAAGGAGACACTGTCTGTGCCTGGTAGGTGGCTTGCGGGTACCTGCTGAGGACCTCGAGCTGGCCAGGCAGTGGGGAGGTCAAGATGGCACAGCAGGCAGCGAAAAGAGCAAGGTGGGCCTTTCAAAGACCGTGCCTGTGTGCCTGTGCCACCGCAGAGCCACCTCCACGCATGTCTGGAGACCCTGAAAGCCCCGGAAGGCCAGCAGAGTCGAGGGAGGGGTGGAGACCGAATCAGAGCAGACTGTATCCACGCCTTCATGGTCACATCAAAGTGACCTGCTGTCATGTGTGACTAAAAGAGTTAGTAGGATAAACACACAGACAGGTAGGCGAGAACGGCTGGGTCATCCGGCAGCCCACTCCTGGGCACAGGCCCTGAAGGGGGGAGAGAAGCCCCGGGGAGACCCTGCCCAGGTCAGCACCAGGCGTGGTCGCCAAGGGACTGGTGACCAGTGCTCAGTGCCGAGTGGTGGCTAGAGCATGTGGCCAGCTCCTACAGGGAGCCACTGCTCAGCCTCACAGGAAGGGTATCCTCTAATGCTACGGCTTCGGGACCCTCGAGGACATGGTGACAATGAAACTGCCAGGAGCAAGAGAACAAATGCTGTAGGACCCCACCTACGGGGTTCCTGGAGCAGTCAAGTTGAGGAAAAGAGGAACCTGGCTCCCAGCAGCAGACAGTGGGCATGGAGCCTGGGGTCAGTGCAAGGTGGACAGCCCTGGGCACCTGTCTCAGCACAGTGCAGGTGTGCAGCGTCACCGAGCCCCGTGCTCGGAGCTGGTTAAGAGGCAAGCACGTATTGTGGCTGTTTTCACAATTGATTTTTTTAAATTAAAAAGATAGTAGAGAATGGGGATTAAGATTAGCACAGCCCTTGAATTTTAAGGAATCTGCCCTCCACTTCGTCTCACAGACCTAAGCAGGTTATGCCAGGTGTGTGGAGTTCTGTGCCAGCCAGCAGTCAGCCCAGGTCTGCAGGCAGCGACACAGGGCTGAGAGTGTCTGCGCCCCTAATGTCAGAACAGCTTCCCCGACGGGCACAGGCCAAGTAATGCTCCCAACCAGGGACACTGCTGACGCCTACTGTCCACATCACTGAATTCTAAGTTTCAGGTTAAGTCTACACCAGTGTTCAGGAGGCTCAGCTGGTGGGGTGCCTGCCCAGCATGCACAGGCCCTGGGGTCAATCCCCAGCACCTCCAAGACACAAAAACAAAACCAAAAAAGTCTACACCAGTGTTAAAAAGAAAAACTCAACGGAGTAGTCATTGGTTTCTTCTCTCACTCTGCACTAAGATGGCATAAGTCACATGGGCGTCTTCCACTCATCTTCCAGAAAGAACAGGGAAGACACATGGAGCCAACAGAGGGGAAGAGGGGAGGGAGGAGGGCAGGGCAGGGCGGTGGGCTGAGGCTGACCCCACCTTCCCAGTGACCTCACCATCACTAAGTAAGACGCCAATTAGACATTTAGAAACCACAGGTGAAGAGGGAGGGAGCAGGGAGGGAGGGAGAAGGGAGGGCAGGTGCTGAGGGCTGGTTAGAGCGAGCGGGGTCGATGCTTTATAAGTATGGCGAATGGATGCTGTTGTCATGTGTGACTAACAAGAAGCAACTTCACACGTGGTTGACAGGACACGTGTGAGAAAGCACAGAGAGAAGGGCGTGGAGGGAGACTCCAGCGGGAGGCAGTTACCAGACACGAGACGCTCCGTGCAGGGAGCTGGAGAGCCAGAGAGAAACAGAGACTTGGCATGGAGCAGGCACCCGAGCAGAGGGACCGAGTCACGGAGAGCTGGGCGCTGGGGGGTGGGTGCAGGTGAGGTGAGCTGACGGGGAGCAGCACTCGGAACTGCCTGCCGCTGGGCTCCTACGGGCAGGCCCCTGCGGGGAGACCAGGCTGAGGTGCAGGGACACAGGGCCCTCCAGGAGGAGGACGGATTGCTGGTGGTGGCCAGGGCATGGGTGGTCCCAGTACAGACAGGCATATCAATTAGGTCCCGGGATGGAGCCCAGGGGGTGGGTGGGGTGAGGAGGGATGGGTGAGAGGGTCCACCCTAGCTACGGGTGCAGGCTGTCCGCCAGCACAGGAGGCAGCAGGCTCGGTGCAGCTGTGCTGGCCACCACGGGGTGCACCATCCCTTCCTCACCTCCACCTGGTGCGGCCGCCAGAGCCCATCCTCCCTCTGCAGCCTCTGTGGGACCAAGCACAACTCTGTGTGATCACCGGCGAGCAGGCGGGTTTGGAAGGTTCGGGTCAGGAGGGTGGTGTATCTGGGGCTTCTGCTGGGGGCTGGGGGCTATCCTAGGGGCCAAGTACAGGAGGAGGCCAGCATCATGCCCAGGGAGGGAGGCAGAGGCAGCACCTGAGCAGGTGACACCAGGACAAGTAGACTTCAGAGCTCTCGGAACTGCCTGCGACACCGGTAAGGATAGGCTCCACAGCAGCCTCTTCAGAGTCCCACTGCAAGGAGCACAGGAGGGGTCCCCAGGTACAGGGACATTCAGTGATGAGGGAAAGAGAAGCCTTCACTGGGAGATGTCAGCACCAGCTCCATGGTGTACTTCAAAGGCGCTCTGCTTAGGCCTCTGTGTGTTCCAATAAAGCATGAAGGACATGGGTCAGCTCAATCTCTGGACCAGTGCTTTTCGGTGGCAAAGAACATGACACATTTGTATTTAATAAGGTCTGAGCCATGATATGCTTTTATGAAGGATTAGATCATGGATGGATGGAAAGACAGACAGAGCAAGAAAGCAAGAAGGAAAGGAAAATTAAGACTTGGAACACACATGGTCTGTTGTTGCAATACGCACTGCCTCCCTTGGAGCTTTTCCATCAGTCCTCATGGACACTGCCTCTCACAGCCTCCCTACTGCACGAGGCTGTGGGCCTCTCTCCCAGCCTCCGCAGGGCGTCCTTCACGTCCTTGTTCCGCAGGCTGTAGATGAGGGGGTTGAGCACTGGGATGACCAGGGTGTAGAAGACGGAGAACACCTTGCCCTGCTCCATGGACTCCACGGCTCCTGGTTGGCCATATATAATAAAACCAGTTCCATAAAACAGAGACACGGCTGTCAGGTGGGAGCCACAGGTGGAGAAGAGCTTGTGCCGCCCAGATCCTGGGCGCATCCTGAGGATGGTCACTGCGATGTAGCCATAGGAGACCAAGATCCCTAGTATCGCACCCACAAGGATGAAACCACAGATGCCGAACATGACCAGCTCGTTGAGAGCCGTGTTGGCACAGGCCAGCCGGAGCAGGGGGGGCACGTCACAGAAGAAGTGGTCGATGCGGTTGGAGCTGCAGAAGGGCAGCTGGAAGGTGAGGCTGGTCTCTATGATGGAGTTGAGGCAGCCTCCACAGTAGGCTCCGAGCACCAGGCGGACACATGTAGCAGGACACATGGTCACAGGGTAATGCAGGGGGCTGCAGATGGCCATGAAGCGGTCATAGGCCATTATAGCCAGAAGTATAGCCTCAGTGGTACCAAGAAAGGAGAAGAAGAACAGCTGGGCAGCACATCCCCCAAAGCTGATGGCCTTGGAGGAGAGGAAGTTGGCCAGGGCATTGGGGGCGATGACGGAGGAGTAGCAGAGGTCCAGGAAGGACAGGTTCTTGAGGAAGAAGTACATGGGGGAGTGCAGGCGGGCATCCAGGGTGATGACCACGATCATGGAGACGTTGCCCAGGACGGTCACCACATACAGGGCCAGGAAGACAGCAAAGAGCAGAGCTTGAATCTCCACCCCTCCTCTAAAGCCCTCCAGCACAAACTCCCGCAAGGGCAGCGCCGAGAGGTTTCCATTTCTGAGGGTCGGCATGGCCCTGCGCTGGGACAGCAGGCACAGAGGACAGTGGAGGCCGTGAGACTGAGCAGGTTACGGGACCATGGTCACGTCTTTTGTGGAGTACAGAGACGTGTCGGTGCCATGCTGCACCCTGAACCAGAGAATTCTTGAACGGCCCCTGGTGGTGCCCACACTGACCGCACAGCTTGACCTTGTGATGAGCTGAAAACACTTGGAATGCCCACCCCAAGGCCAAGGTCACTGACTCACATGGGAAGAGGGACAGAGCAGAGCTGTCCAGCCTGGTGAGGACGCAGGGCCATCCCTGGGCCCAGTGGAATGAGCAGCTGGCCACGGGGCAGGGAGGGTGCCCATCTGCTGGGGAGCTGGAAGACTGACTGGGTGTGATAGGATGGCCTGTCCTCCCCACTGTCCCTGGCCCACTGTGCACAGGTGGTCCTGAGCCAGCAGCGTCCCTGGCCCCTGGGAGCTGGTGGAAATGCAGGAGCCGCAGCCCCAGCCTGCAGACTCGGAGCCTGTGCTTAGCAAGGGGCAGCCAGCGGGTGCTCAGGCCAAGGCTCACAGGCCCTGCCCAGCCACCAGGGTGCAGGGCAGGGTGTGGGCAGGGGAGTGGTCTCTGCCCCCCCGCTGGGGCAAGGCCTGAGTGCTTACTGCATACACAGCCTTGCTGCCTGCTCACTCATGGTCAGCTTCTGGTCCTGGCAGGCCTGAGCAGGTGGTGTGTTGACCTTGCCTGTCCAGGTGAGGGTTAGGACAGCAGCTGTGCTTCCAGGGTCCCTGTGCTCCTGAGCCAGGTCTGTGCTGGAGACGGGGAGGCGGATGCCCAGCCCCTTGTCCTCTGCGGCTCAGCTGTGACCTCCTGAGCAGTGAGTGAGGTGGCGGGCAGTAGTAGGTCCAGTGAGGCTCTGGGCCCCACGTCAGCCTCCTCTCCTGTCCTGCCAGCTGGGCAGCGTGTTAAGGCACCTTCACTTGGGGTCACTGTGTACCTGGCAGGGCTGGTACTTGGGCCTCCAGTGGCCAATTAGTGAGGCTCTGGGCCTCTGCAGTGCCTGGACTCCAACTCCCTGGGCCCCCAAGCTGCAGGGCTGTGGCCAATCTGTGTGTCATCACCATCTCCTCCCAGTGGGGCGGCAGGAAGACTGAATCATCAGGGACTCCCTTGAGGGATGCAGCAGAGACAACTCCTAGGGACCTCGTGTCCAGGGCCCTTGTAAGAGCTGCTGCCCTGGGCTGGGGCTAATGTGACCTCCTGACCCACAGCCCTCCCCTCCTGCTCCGTCCTGGCCATGGTGTGCGGGCAGTGAGGTGGGAACCCTGCCCTGGGAGGCCGGCAGCCCGCTCTGCCCTGACTGGGACGGTTCCTGCACAGGCCCTGTGACTCCGCCTGAGCACAGTTAGGAAGTTGGAGCAGATCACCTCTAAGTCTCCTTTCTCATTTCTTTGTGTTTTTTCCCCATTTGTTTTACGACTCACCTCTTCCCCTCCTCCTCCTCCTCCTTCTCCTCCTCCCTCTCTCTCTCTTTCTCTCAAAATCAAAACAAATTCTTGAATCAAACACAACAGTTGAGGCGGTTACCATAAAAAATATAATACCCTCTTTGAAAGAAAATAAAGCAAGCATCAATCCACATATATTTTGAGTTTGATTCTTCACAAGTGTTCACATGGATTACCTCTCACTTTAAACAAACCCCGAGATCTTTGAATTCTTTCATTGATTTTTATGTGTTACTCACCTATTATATACATACCTTTGAGTGTCCCAACTGAACAATGTTATCAAACCAAGAACATCAGGGGTATCAAATCCCAAATCACTGCAAAATACAGCCTGTTCTATTAGGAAAAAAATAGGGAGACCGAGTAATCTAACTCTTTCAGAAAAAAATCATTCTAATTAAAGGAAAATTTGTCAAGTACACACCATTCATTCTAAGACAGCAGTAGTCCCGTCTTAGCGTATTTGTGACACGCTGTGAGAACCGGGTCTGCGTTTCTGGGCACTGGGGTACAGCAGGCCGTTCCTTATCAGGCCTTTGATCTCCCGGGGTTCACTCCAGTGTTTTAGGTTTCCCCTCCTTGTGGATATCAGTACTCAGGCAAATATCATTTGTCTGTCAAAAATTATTGCCTCCTAACCTTGTCTTTGACGGCCTTCAAATTTCCACATCTGTGGTTTAGTTTAATGCATCTGGCTACCCAGCACCACTGACTGCAAAAGTGGCCTCAGTGACCTTGTGCTGTCAGTGACTGATAGACAATGAGAGCTCAAGACGTACTTGTGAATGTTTTAATTTTTATCCCATTTTATTTGGATCAACTTCATACAATCTCAGTAGAATATCCAGCGCGAGAGACAGTTCTTCCCTTTTTAAAACATCATTTATTTTCACAGTGGCCTAGTAAATTGTTTTATTCCTTTTCTGATTATAAAGCCTCTTATTAGAGTTGAGGACTCAGAGTCTTAGACTCTTGTATATAAACACACTTGACAGAATCTTAACTCCCAGCAACTCCATTCTCGGTGAGAACATAGAAAACAAAGGAATTTTATACTCTTTTTTATTAACCAAATTATAAACACATCTAATGTTTAAATATATTTTAATTAGGAGTGCTTGATCTTTCTATATTTAGTAGATGATATTTAAGCAATTTAACTTTGTAAATTAATGTGTTTCCTTTAATATAAACATTAATTAATCTCACTAGTCTTAAATTTAACTTACTTATTCTTAACTATAAAAAGCCAAGAAATCAAACAAATGTAGATAATAGTATTAACTATCTCTGTGTATCTATCAAATGTAGATAATAGTATTAACTATCAAAAAATTGTTATAAGCAATGGATATTACATTTTAGACATTTTATATAAACCAACCAGAAAAACTTGTGATTTGGTAATATTAAGGACATCTTTTATCTGTTTACCAATTTAAACTGAACTTCTTTTTAAGTTACTTGAATTAATTTACAACTGTTTGGATCCATTTTTATTTTAATTTTAACTTATGAGTGCTCATTTATCTATATGACAATTTTGATACCACATATATAATATACAGACACAGACAACGTACAAAACAAAGAAGCAAAGATTTTTACTTTAAGAAGAGCTCCACAGGTAGGAAGTAATTGTATGGATTTCTGTCAAAGCATTTGTTAGATTTAACTTGTTTAGAAATTAAGAGCCAATCAGAGTTTTACATTATGATTTAAATATAGAGCAGGCCTATGCAGATGGAAATGTCAGGTTTGAAATCTAACAGCCTGATGGAGAGTGAAAGCAAAGGTTCGGATAATCGGCCACCTGTCCTTGATGGCTATCTGACCCACCACCATCCCCAGAAAAATGGGCCTCTGTAAAAAGACAGAGTGAAAAAACCTGCATAGTGACACAAAGTAAAACTGATTAGAGAAACACATTAATTTAGGCGCACAAGATCAAATGTGAATTCACCATAAAATCATGAGCCCCAAAGCATTTTCCTCTTTTTTTTTTTAGAGAAGAAACTATAGTTAATCTAGTAAAGGGGCATGTGGAACTTCTCCATCAACTAAGTGTTTGCCCTGAGCTCAGATTAGAATCAGCCCAACCATCCAAAGAATGCAGAAACCTATAAAAATCCTTAAAAAATGTTTTTTAAAAAAAGAAAACTTGTATGTTTAGAATCTTTCCAATTTTCTCTGTGGAATTAGGGAGATTATTAATTAACCAGGCCGCATGGTCGAGTCAGAAACAGCTTGAGTTTTAAAGGGAAACTTGTTTTCTGTGGCCATAAATCCTGCAGGATTCTCTGAAAGCATGGTGCCTGAGCTTATATTGATTTCTGGAAACCTTATCTCAGTGAGGTTTTAACCAAGGAAGCAGAAGCGTTGTGTTTATATTTGCTGTGATTAACATCCATCAGTCCAAGGTGTTTATCTTGGTGGGGAGATAGTGCAGCTTGGTTTCTGGTGAGTCATCCAGGCTGGTCACCGTGAAACGGCTCCTCCTGGATTGTCTGTTTTCAGGAGGCTGGAACATTTTAGCTTTTTTCTTCCCTACCTTCTGCCTGTTCTCAGAAAACACAGACTGTTGTTGAGCAGGGGGAGGACACAAGAGACACCAGAGGCTGAGGCTGCCACAGACCTAGGGTGACTTTAAATCAGAGATTGAGTCAGACAGCAAACAGGTGGTGCCATTGCACGGTGCATGAAGGCCCTTCTCATCAGGGCACAGGATAAAGGCTCTGGTGGGGACCTGGTGGGTCTCAGCCTCATGGTCGGCGGGCCGCTATTCGTCAATGCGTGACTCTCCATCTACCACTCCCTTCTCAAGGAACAAAGGCAAACTTTAACAATAAGTTTACTTTATTTTTTATTAGTTGTTCAAGACAATACAATGATCTTCACATATCATACATTTGATTCAAATAGGGTATGAATTCTCATTTTTCCACGTGTACAGATTGCAGGATCACACTGGTTATACATCCATGTGTATACACACAGCAATCCTAGTGTCAGTTGTATTCTGCTGCCCTCCCTATCCTCCCCTCCCATCCCTATTGTCCAACCATACTACTGTGACACTTCTCTCTTTTTCCCCTTCCCTCCCCCTCACACCTTGTATATGTATTTTGTGAACCCATGAGGGTCTCCTTCCATCTTCCGTGCATTTGCCCTTCTCCCTCCCTTTCCCTCCCTCCTCTTTTCCTTGTTTCGTGGTAATCTTCTTCTCATGCTCTTCCTTCCTACTCTGTTTTGAGTCACCTCCCTTATATCAGCGAAGACATTCAGCATTTGTCTTTTAGGGACTGGCTAACTTTGCTTAGCATAATTTACTCTAGTGCCATCCATTTCCCTGCAAATGCCATGATTTTGATATTTTTTTTACTGCTGATTAATATTCCACTGTGTCTAAAGGCCACAATTTCTTAATCCATTCATCTGTTGAAGGGCATTTGGGATGGTTCCACAGTCTAGCTATTGTGAATTGTGCTGCTATGAACACTGATGTAGCTGTGTCCCTGTAGTATGCTCTTTTTAGGTCTTTTGGGTATAGTCCAAGAAGGGGAATAGCTGAGTCAAATGGTGGTTCCATTCCTAGCTTTCCAAGGGATCTCCATACTGCTCTCCAAATTGGCTGTAACAGTTTGCAGCCCCACCAGCAGTGTACGAGTGTACCCTTTTCCCTGTATCCTCACCAGCACTTGTTATTGTTTGACTTCATAATGGCTGCCTTTCTTACTGGAGTGAGATGTTATCTTAAAGTGGTTTTAATTTGCATTTCTCTGACTGCTAGAGATGGTGAACATTTTTTTGTGTACTTGTTGATTGATTGTATAATCTTTGGCCCATTTGTTGATTGGGTTATTTGCTTTTTTGTTGTTTAACTTTTTGAGTTCTTTGTATACTGTGGAGATTAGAGCTCTATCTGAAGTGTGAGGGGTAAAAATTTGTTCTCAGGGTGTAGGCTCCCTATTTATCTCACTTATTATTTCTCTTGCTGAGTAAAGACTTTTTAGTTTGAATATGTCCCATTTGTTGATTCTTGATTTTAACTCTTGTGCTAGAGGTGTCCTATTAAGGAATTTGGAGCCCACTCCCACGAGATGAAGATTAGGGCCAACTTTTTCTTCTATTAGATGCAGAGTCTCTGGTTTGATTCCTAGTTATTTTATCCATTTTGAGTTAACTTTTTGTGCATGGTGAGAGAAAGGGATTCAATTTCATTTTGTTGCATATGAATTTCCAATTTTCCCAGCACCATTTGTTGAAAATGCTATTCTTTCTCCATTGCATGTTTTTAGCACCTTTGTCTAATATAAGGTAGTTGTGATTTTGTGGATTGGTTTCTGTGTCCTCTATTCTGTACCATTGATCTACCCGCCTGTTTTGGTACCAGTACCATGCTGTTTTTGTTACTATTGCTCTATAGTATAGTTTGAAATCTGGTATGGCTATACCACCTGTTTCACTCTTCCTGCTTAGGATTGCTTTAGCTATTCTAGATCTCTTGTTTCTCCAGATGAATTTCATGACTGCTTTTACTATTTCTGCAAGAAATGCCATTGGGATTTTCATTGGCATTGCATTAAACCTATAGAGTACTTTTGGTAGTATGGCCATTTTAATGATATTAATTCTGCCTATCCATGAACAAGGTATATCTTTCCATCTTCTAAGGTCTTCTTCTATTTCCCTCTTTAGTGTTCTGTAGATTTTGTTGTAAAGGACTTTCACCTCTTTTGTTAGGTTGATTCCTAAATTTTTTTTTTTGAGGATATTGTGAATGAGGTGGTTGTCCTGATTTCCCTTTCAGAGGATTTGTCACTGATGTACAAGAATGCCTTAGATTTATGAGTGTTGATTTTATATCCTGCCATTCTGCTGAATTCATTTACTAGTTCTAGAAGTTTCTGGGTAGACCCTTTTGGGTCTGCTAGGTATAGGATCATGTCACCCGCAAATAGTGCTAATTTCATTTCTTCTTTTTCTATGTTTATGCCTTTAATTTCTATCATCTGTCTAACTGCTCTGGCCAGAGTTTCGAGACTATGTTGAATAGAAGTGGTGAGAGAGGGCATCCCTGTCTTGTTCCAGATTTTAGAGGGAATGCCTTCAGTTTTTCTCCATTTACAATGATGCTAGCCTGAGGCTTAGCATAAATAGCTTTTACAATGTTGAGGTTAGTTCCTGTTATCCCTAGTTTTTCTAATGTTTTGAACATAAAGGGATGTTGTATTTTGTTGAAAGCTTTTTCTGCGTCTATCGAGATGATCATATGGTTTTTATCTTTAAGTCTATTGATGTGGTGGATTACATTTATTGATTTCCGTATATTGAAC